ATGACTATCACAAATTGGACACATGGGTGCAACGTGGACCCTCAAAGCCACTTTCAAGGCATTGAACTTGTCGTGATTCAAAAGCGTGAGGACCAAGATTATTAAATGAACCCCAAAAGAATGATGAAAGAACTCCAAAAGCTTAGGTTCCTAGTCATGCAACCAAAACCAACGGAAAAAAAAAAAGGCAAGATTTCTATATTCTTCTCTAATCTATCATCCACTCTTGTACATTTCACAATGGTGTCATTTTAGTTAAAAAAAAGAGAGGACATGTTTTGGGGATGAAGGGTTTGGAAAGGTTCGAAGGAAATTAACTCTTTTAAGGGATTGTATACTATTAAGTATATGGATGTTACAGTTATTTTTAGCCATTGGACGGGAAGTCCGACAAATTGAAATATCTAGCAACATTCAAATAATTTATTTTGGACTTTTCCCCTAGTCAATGATACATCCTCACCTTACTTATTTCTGGTTTTGGGATGGGCTGATCTAGAAGGGCTAAGGTGTTGCACTTTAAAAAAGTATGTGCTAGTTTTGCCCCTTGTTTTACTTTTACTTATCTAAAAAAAAAAAACGATATATTCTCAACTACTTGATTTCATATCTAACAACCACTAATAATTGTGATATCCTTATGCTAAAAATAAATAATCTCGTTCATACATTTCCATCTCTGTATCTTAAGTCAAAAGGTCTCGCACTCGTGCCGGAGTGTGCTTTTTATATATTCTTAAAAAAATAGAAGGGTTAAGCCCAAAACGACACGGTTGAAAGCAGAGAGAAAGGGGATATGGGGACTTATGACCTTAGTGAGGATATGATCCTTAGTAGGGGAATATGGGGACTTATGACCTTAGTGAGGATATGATCATTAGTAGAGCAGAATGACAGACAAGGATTCTTGTAGCTGACCCCAATTAATTGAAAAAAGATTACGATGATGATAATGATGATATTTTGAAGATGTATTTTTTCGACTCAGTGCCAATTTTAAAAAAATTCAAATGTAGTCTTTGTGTGCCTAATATAGAACATACGATTTTTTGACAATTAGATTACGTGTTAAAGAACTCAAAATCCAACAAGCTCTAAAACCTAACGTTAGGATGATTCTTAAGCGGATCCAAAATTCCAAGCTCAAAATTCCTCCGAAGTAATTCTCTCAATCACCTGTAGAAGTAAATAGACACTATGCTTCTGCAAGGCTATCACGCCAATCTTGCAACATAAGTGGTTAAAAATGACTTTTTTGAGCTATAAAAAAGGTACATGTAATAACTAACATCATAATGGTCATTATATGATGGAAAAGTATACAATGACACCACCTCAATAATACCTTAAAAAAATAACTCCTAATCTCTCAACCAAATTGAAAAAATAGATAGGGGCCTATTTTATTAGTTAGAAAGAATAAACAAAAGAGGGTGGTATTATATACATATATTCTAGATGTGAAACAGGTGCACAAGCATTTTTTAACAGTTCAGATAAAACAAGCTTCATCTAAATTTTTTATTTTTTTGACATAAAAAATCTCCTTGATATTGGCCAAATACAATTAAAAATATTTGGCAGGAAAAAAGGTTTAAGGGTTGTTTTGATTGTTCGACACAATACCAAACTTTCTTTTCTTTAGTGGTTAGACAAATGCCAACCCTTGTCCACAATACCTCGTGATATGCCGCTTTTAGCTTTTACCAATTCCCACCAGCATTTCGTGCCAGCCTTATTGGACCATGCTACATGGACGGCGATTCTAAGCTCGTGGCACATACGTGTACGGTTACAAAATGTATTATTTAAAGTTGAGATGATCGATAGGAGTGCTTTCTAGAGTCCAGAGCAAATTTTTTTGATGTAGTCTTTACTTCTATAATATAAAATTGACATCTTTCTGATTTTTTTTTTTTATATTTGGTAGTGATTTAACAAAAAGAATTGATCCTGAGCTCAAATTTGGATTCACCTAATGATGGACAGTGATAAATACTTCTGGATCTCAAAATTGTTGGATACCATATTTTTCTCTAATATTTTCGGAATTTAACCTTTCATTGAGTTTTTCAGCTCTTAGATCTTACCCTTTAAAAATTAAATAGTTATTATTCAATCTTGAGGTGTTTTCTCTTTGAGCTAATAAAAAATGCAATTCGAAAGAAAATTAATTGAGTATAATACATAGGTTGGGGGTATTACATCCCCAAAATCTGACCAGCTAAAAACATTCTTAGAGTTTTGCCTAATAGTAAAGATACAGTAAGCTCGAGAGTATAAAACTGTTTTGCTATAATGGGTGGCATTTCCATTATCTGGCTTGTGTGATATCTTTTCTCGGAAACGTGGAGAAGGCTCGTCTGTTTTTTCTGCTTTTCCTTTATGGAGTAGGAAAGGAAAGATAAGAATCAAACCTTGGAATATGCCAAAGATATGCATGTTTTACAAAATACAGGAAAAAAATGTAATCCTTCCATTCTTAAAGATATAACTGAATACCTAAATTGAACCTTTTTTCTTTTTTTCTTTTTATTTTTTGGCACGTATACTATGCTCCCACATGAGGATAGTAAACATTTACTCCCCCAGTCAGAAAACCTCCTTGGGAGGAATTTTTTTTATTTTAAAATTTTGGAGACCACCTAAGAATCATTAGATGATTATTTTCAAAAGAAAGCATTCCAAATTTAAGCTTTCTAACACATATTACACTGTAAAAAATTTGGACGGTCTCTATTCAATCTTGAGACATTATTCTTTTCAAGTGTGTAGAGGATGCAATTAAGAAAAGTTTTTATGGAGGTTAATCTATAGGTTGAAGACGTTGTATCCCCAAAAGTTTAGGTCCTAAAATCAATCCAAAGTGGAGTTTTCCTTGCGGGAGTAAATGAATAGTATACTTCCAAGGGAGTATAATATTTTTTGGCCTTTTTTTTTTTAAAAAAAAGAAAAAAACATATCTCCCATTTATGATCTTGACGTACTTACACTAATTTGCAATAACAAGTTGGAAACTAGGTAACATTTACAAATAAAAGTATCAATAAGGTGCAAGAACTAAGAAGGTTAAAATCATCGGTAAATGTAAACTTAGTTGTGACCTTTTTATATCTAAAGTAAATGGTTTAAAAATACAACTCCAACAATTTTGGTCAAACAAAAAAAAAAAAGAGAAAAGAAAGAAAGGAAAAAGCTCACCATTTTTTGAAAGGTTATTTAAAAAAATAAGTTATAAATATAGAAACTAACTATTAGAAAAGTAAGAATATAAATAAGGGAAAAGTTTTAATAAGGTTGCAACCTTAAAACGTAGAATCACATATGCACGTCAAAAATCTATCGGAAATGTCGCTTTAATGTTGAAAAAACCCTCTAATCGATCATATCGACATCGGGATGTATGAATATGAAACAAACAGTTTTTTAGTACCGGAAATATTGCATCTTGCAGCACATTATTTAGACTGTTCATTTTCAAGATATTCATATATTTATAGATCTACTTGATTTTAACCCTTTTTGAATTTTAAAATTTTCTAATTAGGTATGAAAATATATTTTAAGATAATACTAAGAACTTTTTTACAAAAAAATTACATGTTATGATAAAATTTTAAGGTGCACCTTAATTGGATTGTTTAAGGTTGCAACCTTATAGAAACCGCACCCTATAAATAAATAACAAACATAACTTAAAAAAAAAAATCAATTTTTAAACAAAAGAGGGCCAGAAACGAGGGTGATCAATTGAATTATTGAGAAGCACTTGAACCAAAAGAGGGCCAGAAAATTAACAAAAAGGGTAAAAGATAACACTATAAAATCCAACTAGGGATGATGGATTTGAAAATAATAACTAGACTATAAACAACTTGAAAATTCCAAAAATAATTAGCGGTGATTTTTTCGATTATATAGTTCAAAATCATCGCTATAGTCTAGTATAAAAATCATTGCTAGTTATTTTTGGACCATGTTTTTAAAATCCGGTAGGCTAACGCAAACTAGATTATAGATAACTTTAAAAATCCAAATAAGAAATAAGATGGTAAAAGATTATATAAAAAAATATAGATTTAGAAAAATTGATTTGTATATGAAAATATTTCAAAAAAAAGGAAAAATATGAAAATATAAGAAAACCTCTAAAATCAGCATTAAAACAACAAAATTACATATATAATTTCTACACACAAAATAAATTTTTATATATTTTTATAGTTTTTTATTTAACCTTGGTACTCAAGTACACGGCTTGACAAGAGGCCCGGTGCAAGTAAAAAGATAAAAAAATCCATTAAAAGGAAATATGTTATTAAATTACATTTTTAATAGATATTTTGAAATAAATGAACAAAAAACTTAATATTAAAAAAGGGAAAATTAACCGAAATACCTATGAGAAATAAATAATTTAATATTCCATATGTATTATTTGATTTAATTTCAAAAAACTCATCAAAATAGATTATGATCACAAATACCTACAAATGTGTAAAATGTTAGATATACATTCCCCATGATTATTTACCGAAATACCTTTGAGATATGATTAATTTAATATTCCCCTATATTATTGAATTTAATTTCAAAATACTCATCAAAATAGATAATGATTTCACATAGTTACAAATGTGCACCATGTTAGATAACACAGTCCTAATTATTATTTTGTCAAATTTCCCTTAAAAAAAAACACATACGTGTAAATTCGACCCAGTTTCCTAACTAAATTCCCCCATCATTGTGGCCCAAATTCAATTCATCTCTCAATTTGTTAAGCATATTCCATTTCAATTCCCCACACTCTCCAAAAGGCGAGGGAAAGATAATGAATCCCGGCATCTGATGCTCTGAATATTCCCTATCCTCCTTTTTACCAGGAGGCTTCTCTAATCTTTACCTATAATCAATCAACAAAATCCCACTATTCTTACCCCTACTTTTCCCCTAACTTTTTTTATTAAATTTCACCTATAAATAAACGTTCAGGAACCAGGCTTCTCTCCAAAAACTAGAAAACTTAGAAACCATCATTCTTGGTAAAAAAACCTCTTGTGGTGGCCTGAAAACCTCTTTTGGTCACCCTGAAACTTCCAATGGCCAAGACAGTGGTGGTTTTTGATTTCGACAAGACGATTATCGACTGCGACAGCGATAATTGGGTAATTGAGGAGATGGGTGTTGATGACCTGTTTAAGGAGCTTCTCCGCACCATGCCTTGGAACCCAACAATGGTAATTGCCCTTTTCTTGTTTATTATTACTTGTTTTGTTGGTTGGTTTTTTGTTTTTCTTATTGGAGTTTTTTGGGTTTTTCATGAATTGGTTCCTGGCTTTAGAGAAAAGCTGGTTATTATATATACTGGTTTGTCAAAAGGTATACAGTTCTTTTGTAATCCTTGTCTTTAGGTATTACGAAATGTGGGTCTCTCTATCTCAGTTATTAAAAAATCCGCAAAGTAGTTTCTACTCGGCTGAGTTGATTGGGCTCGGAAAATCAGCTAAGTGGTTTGTATTGGGCTGAGTTACTTGGGCTTGGGTCCTTGTCCAGACCCAACTAGGAGATATTAAAAAAAAAAAAAAAAATGACCATCATAAAACTTTTTTTAAAACAAAAAAATTTATTTGGGATATATTTTTTATTTTTTTATTTTTTATTTTTATGTTTGTATAATTTTGGAGGAGATTGGAGAGTGTTTTAGACATAAAACTTATTTTTATATATATTTTTATTTATTTTTAGATTATTTCAAAAATACCTCAATCTTATTTTAAAATTAATATTTTTTCTATTTTTTAGCTTTTTTTTTTTGCAGTGTTTTACTTAATTTTACTTTGTGTCTTGCTTACTCTTACTTCGAAAGTTCATTCCTATTTTTCAATTTTTTATATTTTTATGAGTTTTTGCTACAATACTCAGCCTAATCGGGCCCAACTAATCGGCTCTGGCCAAGACCGATTACTCGGTTCGAATCGAATCCCACTATCTAACATTCCTCTCCTGAACATTACCCTCCCTCTCTCTTGAATATTATCACACCTCTTCTCTCCTCCCTAGGACAAAAAAAAAGAAGATTATCTTTAAAACTAACGGGGCCTTATTCATTGATTCCATATATAAAACAATTTCCTCTTCCTTATCTTATTTATCACAAATTACTTCATCATCCTTATCTAAGCATTTAGAGTAATACCATTATCACTGTTAAGCAATCCTATTTACGTCAAAAGATTTTCAATTAATTGCATTACCCAAAAGTGGATATTGGGAGAGGATGCCAGATATACCATCTCCGGGGATCAATCTAATAAAGATAGTAATTTAAAAATTCAAAAATCAAGATTTGAATTTCAATTCGAAAATTCCTCTTCTAGTTAGAGCGGAAACAAACTGTGAAGTAACATTGAATTTTAATTCGAAAATTTCCCTTGAAGGTGGGGTGTAAACATTGATGACATTGAATTTTTATTCGAAAATTTCCCTTGAAGTTGGGGTGTAAACATTGAAAACACATGCCCGCAAAAAAAAATTAAAATTTTTTTTTTTAGAAAGAAAATTAAAATTATTTTTTTTTTAGAGCTTTTCTGAATATATCGGCGCTTCTTTTAAAATGCTCTTCCTTACCTAGAAGACCCCGTGTTTTCCCTTTTTCTAGTGCTAATATTCGTTTATTTACATTGGGTTCTCTTTTTATGTAAAATTTACAGGACAGGATGATGGGGGAGCTGCATTCAATGGGAAAGACAACTGACGAAATCGCAGATGTCATGAAGGGGGCCCCACTCGATCCTCGCGTTATTTCCGCTATTAAAGCTGCATACGCTTTCGGGTATTCACGTATTCCATTATTTTTGGTTCTTTTGAACGAAGTTTCGGTTTCTTAAACCGAATCTCGAAATATTTTTGTTTCATATTTTATGGCAAATAATAATAATAAAATTCCCCTAAAAAAAAAAAAAACTTTAGAACTATTTTTGTATCGTATTTCATAGTAAATCAAAAAGGGATTGTCCCGACAGTAAAAAAGAAAGGCTCGAGTGGCCAGCGCAAGTCAGTTACTTTGTGCATAATCCCGTTTGCGGCCCAACCCAGCCTATCCCATCCCTACTAAGATCTTGCTTAGAAACAATATATAATATATATATATATAAATTTATAAAGAATATATTATATAATATATTTGTATATTTTAAAATATTATATAATATTTTTATATAATAAATTTATGCATAACCCGATCTGGTTATTGTAAAATATTATATAATATCTTTAATATATAAATTTATAAAGATTAATATAGTAATACATACATATTTTTCTTATCTTCTTTGGGCATTTTTCTTTTTATAGTTTTCCACCCTACTATATATATATATATATATATATCATTTTTTTTGCAAATATTCTTATTAGTCTTAAAATAAGAAAATTGATAAATTAAAATCTTCTTGTTAGATATTTATATTTTTTTGGTAACTATTAATAATATTTGGGTAAATATTTTTAGGTTTTTTTTTAAATTTTAGGTAATTTTTTATTTTTATATAATCCGTGGGTATGGATACGGGTACTCCAAATAAATTCCGGGTTTAGTAATTTTCCCGGAATATTTCATAGCATTTTGGTTAGTTTTTATTATTCAATTTAATGGTTATTTTTATTTCATTAAGTGTTCCCTATGTGTATGCATGTACGCTCTCAATGTGATGTTGTAATGAAGATAAGAGATTAAAAAAATTTTACTTATTACCCTCGAATGGCCTAGATTAACCAATTCTATATTTCTCTCACCTAATTCTTTTAGGTAAAAAGTGGGTCTCTGTATTATGTGAAACTAAATTGGGCATTTTTTTCGTTTCTAGGGTTAACTAACTAACTTTGGGCATTTTCTCTTTTAAATTTCAGGTGCGATGTGAGGATAGTGAGCGATGCAAACCTGTTTTTCATAGTGACGATACTGGAGCACCATGGTCTCCTCCATTGTTTCACTGAGATTAACACAAACCCTTCATTTGTTGATGAGAATGGAAGGCTAAACATCCGCCCTTACCATAACACCCACAATTGCCCTCTCTGCCCTCCCAATATGTGCAAGGTATATTACCATGCTCTTGAAATAATTGTATTACGGTGTCTGTCCCCGGCCAGGCCCGGCCCGGCCCTTCCCTGCCCTTGTCCCTAGAGGCCAGGTTTAGGCCTGTCCCAGGCTCGGGCAGGCTGTTGCCCCTATAGGGCTGGGGTAGGCCAAAGAATCAGGCAGGCCCTTGTCCCCCATAGGGCTGGTGTAGGCCCAACAAACACCAAAGGAACTGGTGGCCCAAGCTAAGCTCGAGCTCTTGGGCCATGGTGGCCTAGCATGGGCCCTCAAGGCACATTTTGTGGTTGTCCCTTGTTTTTAGGGCCGAGCAGGGCGAAGGCTTGCTAGTCTTAATTACTTGTGACACTCTTATCTATGTCAAACTTTTAATCTATATCAAAAGTTAATACACCATCCTTGGATAATATCCGATAGGAATTCAATGAAAGATAGGCATTCAATATTTCTATCATTTCCTCAAAATGGTTTTTTTGGTCATTTGGACTATTATTTGGCTGTTTTTAAATGGGGAACTTTTTCAATAAGAAAGGTATACAATGAAATTCAGTAGTAGATAGTCACAATTAATATTGATCATTAAATGTGAAATTGGGTGGCTACATTTTTTCTATTGACTAAACTCCAAGTTAAAGAAATTTTTTTGAACTTTGTGGCACACTTAAGCTATTAGATTTTACATCGGGTGGTTATAAGTAATTGTGACCGGTCTCATTGTATATAATCTGCTTTTAATATATGAAATATATGAAGGTAGCTCTTTTAAAAAAAAATAAAAAAATAAAATAAAAAAAATAAAAATAAAAATATATATATATATATATATATATATATATATAAAGGGTTAAGTAAATATTAACAATTGAGAACCAAACTCTCTCTCCCCTTGAGTTTTTTCTAGGATCTTTTGGACCTGTCCAAAACTCTCTCTCTTCTTTCTCTCAACTTATCCCTTTATTCTGAATTTCAGGGCTTGATCATTGAGCGAATTCAAAGCGAGATAGCTGGTAATGATCGTTGTATCGTGTATTTGGGTGATGGTAAAGGGGATTACTGCCCCTCTCTAAGACTTGGCCATGGTGACCACGTCATGCCACGTAAACTCTACCCACTTTGGGACCTCATACAAGTCGATCCCTCTCTATTGAAAGCCACACTTCACGAATGGAGAGACGCAGGAGAACTTGAGGCCAAGCTTCTGAATATTTTGAGAGATAATGAAAAGAAGGAAGAATTCACTTATGAGAGTAATGGTTTTGTTGAGGAGAGTTTGAGTGATCGGCTGCTTTCTTCTGTGGTGGATTGCAAGTCTGAATCGATCACAGGCCCTGTTCTTGAAGCCCCTCTTCCTCCAATCCTGCGTGTTACACAATGATCATAAATTGATGAAAGATTTAAAGGCCTTCTCTCTTTAGGATTTTCTTCATTTTGTTTAGAGCTTGCAGGAGGGGAAGAAATATTCCTTTGCTGCTTACTGAATCTCTCAAACTTTACTTTAGTCTGCTCTCCCCCTCTTGACTAGTTTCTTTTTCCACAATTCAATGATATGTATATATCTGGTCTCATCCATTGGTCTCTCTTTGTTTTTGGGAAGAGCTTCTTGACATTTTCTAGGGCATCTTTTGCTTCTTTTTAGGTTCGATTTATAGGGTTTTAATGGAAATTGGAGCTAATATAAGTATTTATGGTTCACCATCATGATGCTCATATTTTTAAGAGGATATAGTTGTACGACAAGATGGGTGCTTTGAGTGTCTAATCCATTTGCCCTTGCTGGTTTTCTTTTAGCCCTAATTTTAATGGAGAAACCAGGAAACCCTTTTATCTCCAATTTTATTGGACCTTCATCTCAAATGCTATTTGCCTGAATTTGATGAATATATTAGGCTACTTTGTGTTTAGTTCCATTTGAGTTTTCATAGTTCTCTTTAATCCACATTTCTGAATTTTCTGAATGTCCCAAACAAGTTTAAGTCTGCTCACTACAATTTCAAGTTTCGGTGAAAATAGGTGATAATGTGCTGAATTCGGAAGTCAAGATTGAACGCACTGCATCCATATTGCATAACTATATCTACAGTAGCAGAGCGCAATGCTCCCAAGAGAAACTTGATTTTCAGGAGGGGGTGATAAAAAGAGGTAAGAGAATGCTATGAAATGCAAGATCAGATGAAGATATAGGAGGTCAGATGCTGAAGAAATTGAAAATGAGGCAATTAATTCTTTTCATGTGATTCTCGTATAGCTTATCTACTTTTGACTGCTATTTCTCTCTTTCTTTATCTCCCTATTGCATTTCCTTTCAAGATTAATATTCATTGAGTAACATTTGCACTATGATACATGCTAAAAGAAGGCCATTTGCAAAAAAACATACCATAGAGAGAGAGATTAACAAATAATTGGAACATGAATTTACAATCCAAATCATTTATATTCAAGTAAATATCTTGGATGAGCTATAAGCGAAATACTTATTTCAAAAAGGTGTCTTGAATGATTTATTGATGAATCATGTAATGGATGGCTATAACAGTTTCCTCTTACCAAGTTACCCACTAGGGGAACTGAACTATTCTTGTTTTCCTGACTTCTAGTTTTACATTAATTAAAGAACTGGGGACCGGTGGCATCAACTAATAGAATAGGACTCTACAATGAGAGAGAGTACAAGGCTGGTTACATATTATACACTAATAGGGATATGAGTTCAAGGACACTTTAGTTTGAATTGCTTTTAAAAGATGCTCTCCCTGCAAAAAATATTTATTCTTCAATTTAATAAGGAAAGAAGCAATATATTTGCAAAAACTTGATGAAAATATCCTAGATAATTTGTGAAATCAAAAGATATCCTCAATTTTTCATATTTTACATTCATATCTTTTTTTTTAGAACTTTGTTTTCCCCATAAAGCCTATGAGGTTTCGAACCGAGGTCTTTGACCTTTTTTTTTTTGTTTTTTTTGTTTATTTTTGGGGGTAAGAGATCAATTTGAAGTTCCAATCTAATTTTTTCATAACTGGGGTACTTTAAGTTCGAACCCACATTTATTTTGTAGAAGAGATATCCACAAAGTTTGTAATTCGTCCCCTTCCATACGTTTCCATGGAAGGGGCGGGCTCCTAAAAACAATGTCAAATTGATGTCATTTTTAGGCCCGTTGGAAGCCGCATGTTCCAAATTGTAGCTTCTACTCCCTCGTAATAAATGACGGCAGCTGCAGGTTCCAAATTGTAGCTTATACTTGTTTACGATGCAGATCGGAGCGATCTTCGAATGGGGATAGCTCATACCTAAACCACAAACTCGTTTTTTTAAGGGTGATAGAGAGTAGGGACAATCAAATTTTGAACTACGGCCAGATCTACTCAGAAATGAGAAGATCTGCTCTCATATCAGTGGCAAAGCCAATATTGATTCGAAATACAAAATACAACATAAAATGTAATAAAATTGATTTAATTCTAATAAAAATAAATAAATAAAAGAAAAAAAATGCATAAAGAGTAAGACAATATCTGACAGGACCAGTTGGCTCGAGACTCCCGAGGCTTTGAGGCCTCGCCTATATCAAGACCGGTTCAGTTTATATCGTGTGTCCTCTTTAGGTTTTGAGCAAACCTTAGCTTGGTTTGATAGCTTTCTTAACCAAAGGGCTGCAGGTTTAATGACCTAAAGCTAATTTTTTTTAGATCTAGATTTTTACAGGGTCTTCTCAAGTTTTTTAAGGGTCTAAGGAGTATAAAAGTCTCACCCAATAAATGATCCTAAAATGATATTTTAAAGGTCGAAAACCTGTTGGAGTGGGCAACTGCCAATTTCAAATGGATTTCCTAGCCCGAATTGTTGTTTTGGGGTCAACGTACCAAAAGGGTCTAGATTCAATGAATTTGCCTAGAAATGGTCAGGGAATGGTTGGCATGCAGAAACTTCCATTTTAGGACAGTCGGGCTGGGTGGCACTAGTGGTGTGGCCCAGATCAAATCAGCTCAGAATTGGCAAATTCCAGTTCATGCATGATTTACAGGCTCTTGTGATGTTACTTGCCAAATTTTGGGTCAAAATGAGGTGTTTTGTTATTTTTAATGATTTTTTTTACTAAGACCGGGTGTTATACAAGATTCTAGATCACATGGCAAGCAATATGGACTTTGGTGGTCTACAATTTGGGGGTTTACTGGGATAGTGGGGTCTTAAGGCTGTCTAGGGTTTAGAAAAACCATTGAATTTGCCATTTTTTCAAAATGACGTGTCTACAGTTGCCTATCTTTGACGCTCCTTGTCCTTCGAGGGACAGGTGAGTATCAAAGAAGTAGACACTAATGACATTTTAATTTATCTGATATCACGTGATTAGAGGGCACACAAACTTTTTCTCCACGGCAATGCGCTCCCCACTATCCCACCTTGGGTATTTTCATCCTAGGGCTTTTGGCGTGAGATGTCCTGATGATTTACATAAGCTTGGAACTCTAGTTGGATTGTTTGACCATGTCACTTAACTTCAGAGGTTTTCACTTTTAAAAATTTGAACCTAGCATGTTCTTTGATTTCTTTAGGGTCTCCTAAAGTCTTATATAGGTTTGACTTGTTTAGGAAAACATTTGCTTGGTCAATTTTGAAGAGAGTGATGAGGCAACAACACGGTAATCATCATATACGGGTGTCAAAGCTCTTTCGTTTTAAAAGACATTTTAAAAATTTTGAAAATAGGGAGAGTTTTGAAATAGAACCAGGAGCTTTGGACAAGTTACGATTTTAGCAAAACAATTAAGATTTTTGAAAACACAATACATATAGTGAATCATTTTGAAATGGGAGATATTTTGATAAACAAATTTTTAGTTAGCAGTTTTAGCTCCTACAACGATAGAGCCCTCTAAGCAGTTTAACGTCATGCAACGATGGACAGATACACCCGACCCTTTACGTCATACGGGGCTAGACAGATACACCCGACATTTTATGCTATACAGGGCTAGACATTTTCTAAATACACATGACCTTTTACGTCAAATGAGGTTAGACGGATACACCCAGCCTTTTACGTCATACAATGCTAGGCATTTTTTTAATACACCCAACCTTTTACATCATACGGGTTAGATGTTTTGAATGACTTATCATTTGAAGTTGGTTGGCAGTTTAGACTCATGCCACCGAGGAGCATTTTTTGAAATTTTTTTTTTAAAAAAAGGTTTTTGAAAAGAGCTTAAAACAAAAGCTTCTTTTCAAAGTAATTTTCAGGAACTCTTAACAAAATGTGGGTCTTACAGTTTAACCACTAATGACCCCTTTGTTGGACCCTATATGAGTGTTTATGATGAAAATTTGACAGATCTTTCGATGAAAATCTCTCGAATTTTAACACCTTAAACTAACTAAAAAAATGTAAGTAAAGTGGTAGAGAAAGAGGGACAGATCGAATTTAGATCTGAGGCCAAATTTGCCTAGAAACAAGCAAATTTACTCTCAGATCTGTGGCAGAGCCAGAATGATCCAGAGCATTAAAATACGATTTTTAAGACAATTTAATAGATAAATATAAGTAAAAGACGCAAAACAGTAAAAAAAGAAGAAAGAGGGGGGAAGAAATAATGCCAAACGAGGCCGGATGGCCTGGGATTCCCGAGCCTTCGAGGGGTCGCCTGTATCAGAACTGGTCCTCTTTGCCTCTCTGATTCGGATGTTGATCAGCAGATCTCTGGTGTAAAGAGGTTAGATCTAAGGTTATTGTGCCCTAATTATAGTTTTAATCTAGGGTTTTTGTACCCTAGGTCTAGGTTTTTTCAGTCTTGGGGGTTAGGACTTCAGGAGGCTAGGGTTTTTATCTTCTCTAGGGTTTTCAATCTAGAGATTTTTAAAAAACTGTCGGTATTTCTCGGGGCCTGGAGGATAATTTCCTGAGTTTTCTAAGGGTTTTGTGATCTCCAGAGGTTGAATATAAATTCTAATATTTTCTCTAATTTTTTGGGATTTTTCCTAAATTTTTAGGAATTTTCTTAGGGTTTTTCCTATTTTTGCCATTTTTGGGTAATTTTTCTAATTTAGGAAATTTTCAAGGTTTTTTCGATCTCTTTTTAATTTTCAAGGTTTTTTCGATCTCTTTTTTTCTCTTTCTTTTTAGGTTAGAGAGAGGGGGTATTTATAAGATTCAATTGGTGATTTTTTCTAAATTGTTTGGAGCTTTTTTAAAATTTTTTGGATTTATCTTGAGGTTTTAGCCTTATCTAATTAAAAAAAACGTATTTACTGCATCATCCGATACGTTGAATGCATCATCAGCCCGCGTCTGGGCCTGTCACAGCCTGGCCCGCGGCCCGACAGTTGGGTCTCATAGGGATTAAATTATCATTTGTTATATCTTTTTATCTGTAGGTCTGATTCAGGCGATTCTTGGACCGTTGGAAAGCTCTTGGGTTATACTTTAAATTAGGATAGGATTTGGGTAGTTTTGAGGTAATTAAATTGGATCTACTAGGATAATGTGATCTTAAGGGTTCAAAAAACCATAAAATTTGTCAGATTTAAAATGGGGTATCTACAGTACTCCCTATCCTTCAAGGGACAGGTGAGTGATAAAGAAGTAGAAACTTTGGCATTCCCTGTCCTTCGAGGGACAGGTGAACGTCAAAGATAAAGCTGACATTTTAAATTTCTTCTTGAGGTCACATGGTCAAGATGCACACCAACTATCCTTCCAAGTCATTGCGCTCACGGAGCTCACCCACCTAAGGCATTTTTCCTCTTAGTATTTTCGGTCTGAGATGTCGATGAGTTACACAAGCTTGAAACTCGAGTTGGATTTTTTAGCCATGCCACTTAACTTCAGGGTTTTTTGCAGTTTGAATTTTTAACCCTGGCATTTTCTTTGATCTCCTTGGGGTTTCCTAAGGCTGTCT